GATATCATACCAGAAAATGTTATAAAACTCTATGGGATGCCCATTTGATCCTGGTGACTTGTCCTTTTTAAAAGTTGTAATAGTTTAATAGCACTCTTTCTCTGAAATGAGATCACCTAAAAAAAATCGTCGTCTTTGATATCCAGATTACTAAAAGTTGTTTTACCTAATAGGTAAAACAACTTTTTTAATGAATTCACAAGAAAACTTTTGTTTAACACTAGATGCATATAGGTTAAGATAAAAGAACCTTTCTTCCTCGAGAATATCTTTAAAATCTGTAATAGGTCCACTTGCCGTTTGAAACCTGGAAATACATTTTTGCTGAAAATTCCTTTTTTCTAAATTAAAAAAAATGTTTGGCATTACGTTCACCTTGTGAAACCCATTTAGCTTTAGTTCTAACGATAATACCACGAACAATCTCTTCATGCAAATGTTCATATTCCTTTTTCTTGTCACATAAATCACTACGTAAAGTTTCATTATTACAACATTCTTCATTGTTGGTTAACCTATTTATCTCTTTCTCTAACTCTTCTAATCGCATTCTGCGTTCCTTTTTTCTTCTTTTTGGAAATGTCTATAGACTTACAATGAACTCTAAATTTCATAAATTCCCATATTTTGCTAAAGCTCGAACCTGCATTTTCAGTAAAAACTATTTTAATTTCTTCTCTTATTGAGTCAACAACATCTGCGTCTGCCAATAGTGCAGTGTTGAGTTTCCAAAATCCTGGACCTCTCTTTATAACAGATTTTGTCAAATGAAGGGATACAAATAAATGGTCAGTCTTATAACCTCTCTCTCTCTCTCTCTCTCTCTCCCCCCCTATCTCTCTCTCTCTCTTTCGTTTACTCTCTCTCCTCTTCCATTTTCATCTAATCTCCTATTTGTATAAAATGTTTTATAGTTTGTTTATATTATGTTGTTTTTAATTATTGTATATTTTGTATATTTGTATGTGTATTGTAAGATATTTGAAATGTAATTTGTTTGTGTACAGCAGGGCTCCCTTGTAAAGCAGGCCTTGAGGTTTGAATGGGACCACCCTGCTTTTTATAAAGAAAACATGAATAAATAAATAAATAAATAAATAAAAGTTATTTCACTTTTTTTTTATCTGACTGAATTAAACTCTGGGATATCAGAAAGTATTCCAGATTATGTTCATTACATTACACATGGCCCTGGGAAGCGGGGGTGCTGGGGGTGCTGCAATTTTTTTTGTCTGATATATTTAATGTATATCATTATGCTTCGTGTACGAAATTGTCACACAGCCGACAGCCACAAATGACGCCTTTTTCTTCTTTTTTAAAACTTTCTTTCGCAAAATCATATCAGATGTATCCCTCGAAGAGAATTGTTTATTACATTTTTGTATTCATCGTATAAATCTCTTTGAAGGTTTCACACATGCAATCAAACAGTATTGTTACCAAAAAAAAAGTTAATTGTAAGGAATATAATGACATAAAAGAAGCGTGTTTTAGTATTTGTTTGTACATGTCAGGTGCTACTAAGTCATAAATATTATGTTAACTGATACTTCCTCACAAATAACATTAACTTTTCAGGACATAATTTTCACTGTTGAAACCTTCAGGAAGATTTCTTCGATGAATGCAACGAGTGGCATAAACAGAATTTCGCCTCGTCACACAAAACGAGACAGAACTCTTCGTTTACAAAATCAAATTAATATGATTTAAATTCAAGGAGCAACATCAATAGTAATCATTCACGTATAACATGATGCCAAATACACATACTTGCTTTTTGAGAAAAACCTTGCTTGTACCATGTTTTAAATTAATACACAGAGTGTAATACGCCCGCCCCCCCCCCCCCCCACTCAGGTTTCGAAATGACCGCATGCGTGTTGCCAAAATGTCCGGTAAAGGGGTACTTTTCGTGCGACAAAGTCCGGCCGAGAATTGTAAAAAAAGGAGTGTATTCGACTTTTCACCCGGAGATTTCTTTAAAAAGGGGGTGTTTTTTCTTTTTTTCTCTCATCTCTTTGGACTTATTCCGAATTTAGGGGGGTATATTGAGCATTTTTCCTGATTTAGGGGGTCTCCAGGGCAGGAAAAGCCCACGAAAAGCCCGCGAAAGGGGGGTTCGGAAATGTTGGCAGTCCTCAGATAGGGGGTGCTTTCAAAAAAAAGAAACGAGCATATGCGTACCCTAAATAACACTGAGTGGGGGGGGGGCGGGGTAATACGTACGTCTTTGATTTTGTCTTTTAAGATCCGACTGAAGGGCATGAAGGAATGTACAGTGGAAAATTATTCCAAGCAGTGGGACCAAAAGTTGATATTATGAACTTACTTACATCTAGATGAATATTTCTTCTCCAGAACTAAACCACATTTCATATCATTGCTGGTCTGTAAATGAATGCTCGAAGATGATTAAATGCCTACAAGAATACAAGATAATAAAAAAACCAATAAATCAAATCAGAAGTAAGATATGGGAGAGATGCATTCACTTTCTTACTCTCTCGCAAACTGTTAACTCTCTGTGATTCATGCCATGAGTACTTGAGTTTGAATAATCAAAATATTGTTCATCAATCTATGACGTAACATCTTAAACATTTTGTTGAATTATAAACAAATCATGCACTGTTGTTTGAATGGAAAGATAAACACCTACACACGAAACATCGCTGAAGCAAAATGTATCTTTCTGAACAATTGAGGAACGTGCTGTAATAAAGTTCAAGCTATGTTAAAGCTGGTACATTTCATAAAGGTCAGATAAGTTTGATATACATTGTGTCCCTGTCTATTAGTGATTGTGAAGTGGTGAACACATTAAGCTAATAGATGTAGAACAATTAAATTTCTTAAATTGCCAAGGAAACCATGGATAAATGGGATATATGCCAATAATGGTTAGACGATATTGGGCGGGAAGGTCAGCTTGCTACAACTTCTGGAAAAATTATGGGAGTTCAAAATAGCAAAAAAAAAATCGCCTCGCCGCTTTGCGGAGCGTGGACGATGCTCCGCATGTTAGTAGATACCAGGAAAACATAATTTACGGGGGTTCAAAATAGCAAAAAAATCGCATGTTAGTAGATGCTAAGAAAACATCACTTACGGGGGGTTAAAACTTCAAAATAGCAAAGTAGATGCCAGAAAAAAATTCATTTACGGGGGTTCAAAGTAGCCCCACCAAAAATCGCCTCGCCGCTTTGGGGATCGTGAACGATGCTCCGCATGTTAGTAGAAACCAGGAAAACATCACTTACGGGGGGTTAAAACTTCAAAATAGCAAAGTAGATGCCAGAAAAACATCACTTACGGGGGTTCAAAGTAGCCCCCCCCCCAAAAAAAAAAAAAAAAGAAAAAAAGAAGTCGACTCGCCGCTTCGCGGCTCGTGGACGATGCTTCGCATAATGGTTCATGCCAGGAAAAAATCTTTTACGATGGGTTATGAATTGCAACGAAAAAGCCTCGCCGCTACGCGGCTCGTGGATGATGCATGTCCGCAAGTTAGTAGATACGAGGAAAACACCACTTACGGGAGTTCAAAATAGCAAAAAAAAAATCGCCTCGCCGCTTCACGGCCCGTGGACGATGCTTCGCATGTTAGTAGATGCCCGAAAACCATTAAATACGGGGGTTCAAACTTTAAAATAGCAAAGTAGATGCCAGGAAAACATCACTTACGGGGGGGGGGTTCAAAGTAGCCCCCCCCCCAAAAAAAAATCGCCTCGCCGCTTCGCGGCTCGTGGACGATGCTCCGCATGTTAGTAGAAACCAGGAAAACATCACTTACGGGGGGTTAAAACTTCAAAATAGCAAAGTAGATGCCAGAAAAACATCACTTACGGGGGTTTAAAGTAGCCCCCCCCCCCCAAAAAAAAGAGTCGGATGCTTCGCATAATAGTTCATGCCAGGAAAACATCTTTTACGGGGGGTTATGAATTGCAACGAAAAAGCCTCGCCGCTACGCGGCTCGTGGATGATGCATGTCCGCAAGTTAGTAGATACGAGGAAAACACCACTTACGGAGGGTTATGAATTGCAACGAAAAAGCCTCGCCGCTACGCGGCTCGTGGATGATGCATGTCCGCAAGTTAGTAGATACGAGGAAAACACCACTTACGGGAGTTCAAAATAGCAAAAAAAAAATCACCTCGCCGCTTCGCGGCCCGTGGACGATGCTCCGCATGTTAGTAGATGCCCGAAAACCATTAAATACGGGGGTTCAAACTTTAAAATAGCAAAGTAGATGCCAGGAAAACATCACTTACGGGGGGGGGGGTTCAAAGTAGCCCCCCCCCCCCCAAAAAAAAAAAAAAATCGCCTCGCCGCTTTGCGGCTCGTGGACGATGCTCCGCATGATAGTAAATGCCAAGAAAACATCTTTTACCGGGGTTCTAAATAGCAACAAAAAAAAACAGCCTCGTCGCTACGCGGCTCGTGGATGATGCTCCGCAAGTTAGTAGATACAATACAGGGGTTCAAAATAGCACCAAAAATCGCCTCGCTGCTTTGCGGCTCGAGGACGATGCTATGCATTGTCATTGGGTCAAACTCTCCCCTTGGCAAAAAGCTAGATCCGCCCCCGTGTATACGTGTATATAATTATATCTCAGCACCCCCCGGTGAAAAATCGTTCCCAGGGCCCTGCATTACAATGCATCTTCTCTGTATGTTGAAGGGATCGTTTAACAATGTTAAATATGAGATGCATGGCCCTACGTGTTGTCAGTGCCTGTTATACGGTGTTATATTGAAGCCCTAAAAAAATTGCGCTTCAAAATGATCAACAAGTGCCTCAAAAAAGTAAAAACCTTTGAGTGACTGGTTTTACCAATAGTCTGTAGTGTTATGAAAACCGTTGGGGCAAACGCAAAATTCGATTTCGATTTTCAATCATAAATATCTTGATAATCAGACAGGCGATCGGCTTGTAAAAGTCATGGGGTTCCTGACTGACCTAAAGGTTTATAATTATCATCGCAGCATGAGCTTAATCAAGGATCTAAGACAAACTTACGGGATCCCTTTAGGGAAAGAGGGTATAAGAGAGAGTTATAAGAAGACAAGAGGGAGGGAGAAGAGGGGGCGAAATCCAAGCAAACAGTAGAAAATGAAACTATGAGAAATGCATATTCAAAAAAATCATTATAATTGTTTCGAATAAACATATGTCCTTTTATTTTTCATTAACATGTCGAAATTTCCAATTTAAAAGGAAAAGTACTGATAAGAACGCAATCGTTTCAATTTAATATTGAAATAAAAGTGGTTTGATGCCTTTTATCACATTTGAGCTACACAATAGATGTTTATAACATCACTTTTGATATTTTGCTGTATGATTTCTCATTCCAAATACACATCATATACTTAGGTCAGTATAATAGAGAATGAATGCTATGAGGGGAATAGTTGTTCTATGGGCACAAGGGGATGTTGCATCCTGACATCGCCCGAGGCGTGCCGAGGGGTGATATCAGGATGCAACATCCCCGAGAGACTTTAAAACAACTATTCCCCGAATATTAAAGCAGTCATTATCTCTTTTATATACCGAAAAAGGGACCATAGAATATGCAATCATGATAATCTAGTTTGTTTACGCTATATCGAGGTCTGTGTTGATTACTTGCAGGTCTCTAGGCGCATTTTGTGTGCTAAAATCCTTCCCATTGAGATTGCACGCATATATTCCTATGCAGTCTACGTGCATTACGCGATCTACAAAATTGGTTTAAAAACATATTTTCAAATGGAGATTCAAACCTTTAGTGCCTGTAATCTTGAAGGTGATTACTAAAAAATGAGGTGTCATATGAAAGAGCAGATTTATCTCCATATTTCCAAAGGGGCGTCATCTCGTTCTTACATGTAGGCCTACAATTGAGATCGGCGGTCGTCTGCACTGTGTGCAAATGTAGCAACCAAATTAATTGCACATAAACTGTATGGTAGCCGCGCTACGCATTCCACAAAGAACATTTTAACATGTAAACCAATGGGTATCACAGCAGCATTTACTATTTTCACGGTAACCGGAATTTTGAGGGATCTCACTCTTTGACTATTAACCGGTTCTGGCATTTTACGTTTCTTAACGGGAATGGCTAACAATGACGACTCTGATTTCGACCAATCAGATGGCTGGATTTCTAAAGTGAGGTATATAAAGGAAGTTAACATTAAATATATATACATAATATACAGTTAACAACTAAATAAAGGAAATAAATGTGAATTCCTATTTTATAATTCATGGAAATTTCAAATATTGCTTTATTCTTCAAATAACATTTTGGCATGCAATCTACTCGCTATCTCGAAATAAGAAGTATACACTTCAAGATTCAAGATTCAAGATTCAAGATTATTTTATTGGTCCATGCATGCAAACATTACATAGAAATTTTGCTTCCAATGGCTTTTTTTTACAGTGAAAATACAAATGATAGAAAATACAATATAACATTTAATAATAGAAAACTATGTACATAAACATGGATAATTATTTATAGTGTGCATGTGCCCCTTAATTTCTTATTGCCTACATTTAACATACGTCATAAATTAAAATTTCTCATAATGTAATGTAGTATTTCTCGTCAGTTCCCCCTCCCACCCCCATCCGCTAACTCCCGATCCACAGATGGTTTTGGATTTGCAGAAAATAACAGGAATAAATACATTTACAATCATATTTCATGATTATAAATGCGAGATATAATTACGACAATACTTCTACAGTAGAATGAACTCTTAACGATTGAAAAAATCAAGTTAACAGTTTACCAGCACAAACGTATGAATAACATGCGTCATAATTTAGAATGTCTCATAATATGATATTTCATTAAAATGTCTCCTTATATACAATATTTCCCGTCAGCTCCCCCCCCCCCCCCCCTTATCCGCTAGCTCCCGATCCACAGATACTTATGCATTTTGCAGAAAATAACAGGAATAAATAGATTTATAGATCGGAGTGTTCAGTTTAATTTCTAATTTCACCATATTATGTAGAAATCCATGGTTACTCCGTTGTCCTAAACACTATTCACGAATTACATAATTCTGTGTTGCGTGTATAACAATTCTAGATGGTTCATCGAACATAATACAAACGCGTCACCTTGGCACCAGTTTAAAACATCGCGTCATTCTTCAAACAGCGTTTTGGTATGCAAGTTACTCCCAAGCCAACGGGTTTACACTTCTCGGAGTTTCGAGTTTGATTTTCAATTTCATCCATTAATAATCATTTAGAAATCCATGGCTATTCCGTTGTCCGAAACACTGTTCTCGAATGACATTTATACTGTGTTATAAAGATTCTACTTGCTTCACCGAACACAGACTAACGCGTAACCTTTACAACAGTCTTAATAGTATCATTATAAATACTAGAAATGCAATCGTGTCAGAACGATGTGCGTGCAATGACGCCATGTTTCTACGTGTCAACCGAAAGAGCTTCTCTCGGACTATCCAGAGCAATTTGCACGAAATCTGTAGCTTCTGTGATATTGGAGATAGGTAGGGCGAAAGAAAGGCATCAACAGTGACCTTGATGGGATGGTACTATGCCTACGAAGTTTGAAAGAAATTGGGATAGGGGAAAGAACCTAGAAAGGGCTTGCAAGCACTGCGTGCAAAAACCAATGGGATTTGGTGCATGTTTGACATTGCAATCAAGATCGTTCTGGGGGCCAAAAGCGTGAACCCGATATGCCCCATAGACAATGCGTGTAATGAATGGGCGGAAAACGTGCAGGATCTGTATTATGACCGGAGTTAAATTGTTTTTTCTCTCTCTCTTTACGTCTCTTTATGGGCCGTATTTGGTATCATTAGAAAGAGAATTTCATGGTTGTTATTGTAAACCACTCTCTTTTTTTTCTATGATAATCCTATCGAAACACGTGATGTAAAATAGATTTATAGGACAAAATGGCGTCTTAAATGGCCCCCTTGACCAATTTCAAAAATCCGGCCAAGAGGTGCCCTGCGTATTGGAACTCGGCATGTCACTGCAAATTTTCAAGGAAAAAAAAGGACGTTTAAGGGGCGAAAAGCAGTCTGAAAAAATGACGTCATAGCCGAAACGTGTTAGATTCGGGCGGAAACTCGGCGGAATTCGTGTAGTGATCTTTGTTCAAATGCGATTTACTCACAATTTTCTGTGTGAACATATATTATACTTGGTATCATTCGAAAAGGCACTTCATTGCGGTTAGTTTGACACCATTGTTAACTGCGCGCAATGTATTGCACGCATTGAACGCGCTATTACGTAATCCATAGTAAATTCATCATTTTTGGCGATAACTTTGCGCTGACATATTCGAATTTTACCAAACTTAGCAGACAGTTGTCACGTATATGGATACATATGTCTGCCAAGTTTCATTGATATAGGTATAAAGATCGCCGTTTTAGAGCAAGTTGAAGTTATTTTGGAATTCTCTTGAAAATGGTGAATTTGGAGGGCATTTTTCTGAAAGTCGGTCAGTGTTAGGGTATATAATTTTGTATATGGCTGGAAAGGGCATATCTTCAAGTATCTAAATCCAAAAAAGGGTACGGGTTTGCCAAGCCAAAATGGAGATACGGCCACAGAAAGAAAGCCAATTCCCAGAACTTTAGAGGGCGCTATTTATGTTGTGCAAAGCCATTGGAGCTTGAAATTTGGCATGGCTCTGTGCAATTATGAGATAAAGATACTGTGAGATTTAAATACAAAAAGGACATTATATGAGAAAGTTATGGCAGTTTTAGATTATTTAGGGGTCAATTTTTCAAGAATTTGAGAGATTGTTGACGGAGTCGGTTTCAGATTTGAATTTTGAGTATGAAGATGGCATTTTGAAGGACAGGTTATATGTCGCAGATTAAAGAACATCTCTTAGACTATCTAGAGGAATTTGTTAGAAGTTTGTAGGATCTAGGATAGTGGAGATAGGAAGGAAGATAGAAAGGCCTTAAAATGGACCAGAAACGGACAAAATGGCGCCTGGACGGTTATGCATGAGTGATTTCGAAAATCGAAAAAGTAGGTGACCTTGATGAGATGCTAGAGATGATGCCTACGAAATTTGAAAGGAAAAGGACATGAGGAAAGTACCTAACTAGGAATAACAAACACTACGTACATAACGAATGGGATTCCGGACGATAAGGAGGAGGATAAGTATATTAATGGGGCAGAATGTGAACGAAAACAAGGCAATGACGAAGGTCGTCATTGCAATTACTTTTATTGCTACAGATGCGACGGACAAATCATATTCCATCAAAATCAACGAGTTTGATTTGATTCCGTGCTGTTGTTCGGTTCGAGCGCCCTCTTTTCAGCGCTAAAAAGAGCTTGTTTTTGAATTTCGAATCAAAAGACTCGAGATAGGTTGTAGTTCTTACGTATGCCTTCAGGTCAGGATCGAGGGAGTCTTGGTTGATATCTCCAAGAGTGATGATGAGCAACGTGTTACGGCGATCATGCAACGCTTGAAGGTGAGCCATGCGGAACTCGTACATGCACCAGTCACTTTGCAGGAAGTTGCCTGACAAGACGAGAATGACACGACGGCTCTGCGCCACGGCGCTCACGATGGTGTCGCCTGGGATAAAATGACGATGATGGAGACAGATGGAGTAAGAAGGCACATCCTCGGTTTCCAAAAGTGGCACCAAGTAACGGAGCACGAATTCGTCGTAAAGTTGACAATAGGAAATGAAGACATAAAAGGGTTTGTTCGCGTCATCTTAAGACGGGTCTTGAGGAAATTAACGCAGTAACATGAGCTGGATGAGCGTTTTGTTCTTTTTGTATAGAAAAACGCAAATGAACACAACCACGAGAACACCAGTGATGGCACTAAGCGATGCAAGTGATGTGATTATTGGACTAGTCCCATGTTTCCTGCAGTAAGAGGAATCGAGGTTAGCTAATGAAACGGCGGTGCTGTCCCTCTGCCGACATGTTACGTTACCCTTAACCTCTAATGTGTACCTGACCAACCCCTGTAATGAGATCAAGTTACAGCTACAAGTTAGTGGGTTTTCTTGGAGGCTCACTATTTCAAGACTTTGAGGGAAGTACTGGATAGCAGGAAGGACGGTGAGAAAGTTTCCGTGTAGATAGAGATAGGTTAAACTTGGGGTGTCCAGAAAGACCCCATCAGCAATAGTTTTGACGGAACTGTGGTTTAAATACAGTGTGTTAAGTCGAGTCAATCCCTGGAACGTCCCTTTCGTTAGATTGTGAACATTATTTCCGTCGAGTTTCAAATGCAGGACTGAGTTTAAGAGGCTAAACGCTCCACTTTCTATCCTCACAATACTACACCTAGTAAGCGTCAAGTCGCTTAAGAATGGCATTCGAGTATCAAGCATACTTTTTCTAAGAGTGTTCCAGGTATTCCCGGTTAGGTCCAACGATGAAGTATTGCTTGGTATGCCTCGCGGAATACGTGTTAGATTTTCAGATTCACATTCGACATTGATCACACGGAGAGCTGTTTGAAGCCCCAGATCCTTCATAATCTCGTAGCATTGACAATGTTCAGGGCACAGAGAATCGGACAAGGGGGACTCAAAATGCTCAGGCCTTATTGAGAATAATGGTATTCCATTCAGGTTGGGTGGTGAAAAGCATTCGATGTCATCACGATCACTTATCCAAACAGCCGGGCCATCATAAATACGAAACCAAGTAAGACGGCAGTCACAAGTAAAAGGGTTACCACCTAGCCTAACCACCAACTGATTTCCAGCTAGTCTCTGTTCCCCGAGAGGGTTCGACTGAATATCGAAGAGTCCATCGTGGAGAGTCTCTAAAGAGTTATAACTAAAGTCGATGAATGTGAGCCTTCTTGCCCATCGTAAGACATTCGTTGGCAACGATTTGAGACGGTTATTACGGAGATCGACGTACGAAAGCGAAGACGAGTACTCATCTGTTTGAAAAACCCTTTCGGTAATGGACGATATTAAGTTATGTGACAAATCTAACGAGTTTGTATATCCCCGGACTCCTGGCACAGTGTCCTCTGTGAATGAAGTCAATGAATTGTAGGAGAGTAAAAGCCTCTCAATCCCTAAGACGCTCAGGCTGAACTTCTCATCAAGGTTATTTCGTGACAAATCCACTTCTTCGAGGGACCTCATCGACCGGAACGCATCAGCATGTATGGATGAAATATTATTGTCATCTAGGTATAATGTGTTCAAGAATTCGAGGGGTTTCAATAGGTCACGGGAGATTTGCGTAATGCTATTGCTCCGGAGGGACAGTACCTGCAAGTCTTGAAGATCATTGAAGATGCCATCGGGGAGTTCTCGAATGTCATTATCCCACAAACTTAGTTCCCGAAGGTGGGTTAAACCTCTGAAAATCTCCGGATGAAGAGACTTTAAATCAAGTTTAACCAATGACAGTACCTCAAGGTTTTTGAGGGGAGAAAAGGCATCGGGTTTGATGGAAACATCATCCTCTAAAGCGAAGTTTAATTTCTGCAGACCAGGTAGACCCATATACGTATCGGCGGTGATGTTGAAGGGCGTAAAGCAATTGACATCGCCAACGGTATCAACTTCCTCGGCGATGTCGCCACATTTTTTTACCGCGCTCATCAAAAAGCCGGAATAACTAAGAGAATTGTTCCATGAGCAATCAATGTACACTTTCCTGGATCGCGGGAAATAAAATGGATCCGGATTCGTAGCACTGATTAAATCAGGGGTCAATTTGCATGAGACATGCTGAAATGCAGCAAGGGAGTCGGCGTATGTGACTGTGATGTTTGGAGGGTCACATTGGCAAGTGCTATTACCTGTCGGTAGCGGTACAACTGGACACTCGATAACGTATGGAGTGAAAAATGTTGAGTTCACCCGTTCTTCACAGACGCATATTGATATCAAATTGCACAGGATTGTCAATAAGAACTGTCCTTTAATGAAGATTCCCATTGTGGCAAGTTTCGTTGAAATATTCAATAAGACACGTGTTAATCAAATCTCATTCAATCAAATCAAATCTAATCCAATGCTAATCCAATCTATAATGTCTTTCGTAGTGTAACTTTTCCTTGTAGATGAATAGGGCTGCACAAATTGCTCAAGCTGTTTGGGTCATGTAAACAATAATATATCTCTTAGCAATAACCAGTTGTGCCAATACAATTCATGTTATCTGACAAACGAGACGTCAGAAGTTTACTGAACTGGTCCACAAGTCTAACCTTCTTTGCGATGACTGGTACTTCACTGACCTCACCTCACCTCTTCCTTCCTCCCGCTGATGCGCTATACACGATACCTTTCCTCATCCGTTCAAATATTTGTATAACCTGGATAATAGTATTTTTTGAAAGAGAATGAGAACGTGACGTCATATCGTCGTCACGGTTATGCAAAATAAACATCCGCGATATTGGTGCGGAAGAATCACAGAGTGCTTTCACCTTTACCAGTAAATTATTGTACGATCACACAATCTTTGTCAGTCACTTGTATTGTTCACGTACACGTGCGGAAATGCCTGTAAATATTTATTATGTTTGTATTAACGAAATTACCACGATAATTGAGAAAGATTCATGCGGATAGGATGGCAGAGCATTGAGCTTTCTTCAGTGATTCCCCGTCAGTTTGAATATTGATTTATTTATATTGTGTTGAGAGTACAGGGGATCTAAACCTGCCGGAATCTATTTCAAGCAATTCCTTATATGGTTGTTTTGGAGGGAGATGTGTTAATATCAGGAACTTTTTAGACATTATCCCGACAGGAAACTATTGAAGTCTTTGTTCCTAAAGATAGACGTACACACATTGTTACTAAAAGGAAATTGTGTAATATCTGATTTCTTCTCCTACTTCCTATGCACGTGTAATAACTATCAGTGGTTTTTGTCTTTCCTTGATTATGTTATGGCAGAGTAGATTATGTTCGCTAACGTTGAATCCGCTCTCAGTTCATGTGAGAGATCATAATTAATGAATTTCAATAGGAATTCTCTGGTTTGTAACAATAGGAAATCACTGTTATTTTGCTTTGGTTCTTAACATTAGGAACCAGAGCAAATTAACAGTAATTTCCTATTGAAAAAAGGACGGATGTTAAATAACACCATGTCGACCTTCACATGTTTTTGTCAAATAAACCTAGCCTTCAAATTAATCATAATAGTATATAATAGTACACGCGATTATGTTCATTACTTGTTTTTCTTTTTTTTTCTTCAAAATATTTATTGAAAACAAATCTCATTCATAATAATAATAGTACATGATAATAATAATAGTAACATAACATGTTCGTATAGACATAGAATATGTAAAATAAAAAATATATTGTAATAGTTAACTCATCAGCAATAAAAAAAGTTAACAAAATATCTGTCATTTCTTTTTATGAAGATCGAGACGGTTTTGTTTTAAAGCAATTATACGTTCCATATTTTCTTAAGTTTGAGAGCTCGTTGAAAAGAAGGAAATAGTGAAATAAAGTTTTGCATTTTACAAGTGAATACATTGAAGAAGTAATATATCTATCTTATAAAGAAAGCTTTGTGTTGCAATTTTTCTATGAATAAGTTTAAATTGGAAATTTCTCATTTTATTATCTATGGATGACCTATAAAGTAATGTAAAACGGGATTTCCAAATTAGTAAATCGTTTAAATTATTTGTATATCCCTTTGCCATTTATCCTGTTATATTTATTTGCTGAAAATTTGTTTAAGAAAATATTGTACGTAAGTTTTGATATCTTTTTAGGTTTACGATATTCGTTCAATAAAGTATCAACACAACTTAAAATAGAACTTTCTATTTCGAAATTTCCCTGTTTTAGAATACGTTTCCAACTACTAGGTAATGCGGAAAGAACTGAATAATATAACATAAATGAGCCAGACGGAAAACTCATTTGATTCATAAATGAACCATCAATGCACAACATATCCTTAACATATATCATATCAGAATTAAAACGTATATTAATATTGAGAGGTTTTCCGCCTACCAGTATATGAGATTTCAGGCAAAGGGGTAGGGAAATAATTTCTTTGAATTTAACTGGATTGTAGTACTTGTAGTGCAATTAATATATTATTCCACAAAGGATCTGCGTATTTATTGAACATTAAATGATCAGAGCGGAGATTGCCGCTAAAAAAAATATCACCTCCCATACGTCTCAGAGAATTTGCAAAAAACCTTTTCCATTTACTTTTGTTTTCTTCATCAAAGTTTCTCTTTATCCAACTAACTTTCATTGCACGGTTAAAAGATAATAAATGGGGCAAGGTTCAATACCCAGGCGCGGATCCAGGATTTCTTAGGGGGGGGGGGCCCAAATTTGAAATTATGCGAGCCAAATATTGGTACGTTATGGTGACCAACAGTGACGTAATGCGGGGGGGGGCGAGTTTCCCCCTCCCAGGCTTTGACGTTTCATTATATTATTAGAGAAAGAAGACGATTCGTTGTACCGTTCTCGAAAATAATTCTCGTCTGAATTTAGTTTTTCTCCTCCCGCGCGAAGCGCGGAAAATTTTACGATTTATTAAATTATTAGAGAAAGAAGACGATTCGTTGTACAGTTCTCGACTCTTAATCCTTGTCTAAATTCAGCCCCCCTCCCCCTCCTGCGCGAAGCGCGGAAGCTTTGACGTTTTATTAAATTATTAAAGAAAGAAGACGATTCGTTGTACCGTTCTCGAAAATAATTCTCGTTTGAATTTAGTTTTTCCCTCCCGCGCGAAGCGCGTAAAATTTTACGATTTATTAAATTATTAGAGAAAGAAGACGATATTCGTTGTACAGTTCTCGACTCTTAATCCTTGTCTAAATTCAGTCCCCCCCCCTCCCCCTCCGGCGCGAAGCGCGGAAGCTTTGACGTTTTATTAAACTATTAAAGAAAGAAGACGCTTCGTTGTACCGTTCTCGACCCTTTATCCTCGTCTGATTTCAGTTCCCCCCTTCCCGTGCGAAGCGCGGAAGCTTTTACGTTTCATTAAATCATTAGATAAAGAAGACGATTTGTTGTACTGTTCTCGACTCCTAATCCTTGTCTAAATTCAGCCCCCCCCCTCCCCTCCTGCGCGAAGCGCGGAAGCTTTGACGTTTTATTAAACTATTAAAGAAAGAAGACGATTCGTTGTACCGTTCTCGACCCTTTATCCTCGTCTGATTTCAGTTCCCCCCCCCCTCCCGCGCGAAGCGCGGAAGCTTTTAATCTTCATTTAATCATTAGAGAAGAAGACGATTCGTTGTACAGTTCTCGACTCTTAATCCTTGTCTAAATTCAGTTCCTCCCCCTCCCCCTCCTGCGCGAAGCGCGGAAGCTTCTACGTTTCATTAAATCATTAGAGAAAGAAGACGATTAGTTGTACCGTTCTCGACCCTTTATCCTCGTCTGATTTAAGTTCCCCCCCCCTCCCGCCCGAAGCGCGGAAGCTTTTAATCTTCATTTAATCATTAGAGAAGAAGACGATTCGTTGTACAGTTCTCGACTCTTAATCCTTGTCTAAATTCAGTTCCTCCCCCTCCCCCTCCTGCGCGAAGCGCGGAAGCTTCTACGTTTCATTAAATCATTAGAGAAAGAAGACGATTTGTTGTACAGTTCTCGACTCTAAATCCTCGTCTGAATTCAGTTCCCCCCCCCCTCCCGTGCGAAGCGCGGAAGCTTTTACGTTTCATTTAATCATTAGAGAAGAAGACGATTCATTGTACAGTTCTCGACTCTTAATCCTTGTCTAAATTCAGTTCCTTCCCCTCCCCCTCCTGCGCGAAGCGCGGAAGCTTTGACGTTTTATTAAACTATTAAAGAAAGAAGACGATTCGTTGTACCGTTCTCGACTCTTAATCCTTGTCTAAATTCAGTTCCTCCCCCTCCCCCTCCTGCGCGAAGCGCGGAAGCTTCTACCTTTCATTAAATCATTAGAGAAAGAAGACGATTTGTTGTACAGTTCTTGACTCTTAATCCTCGTCTGAATTCAGTTCCCCCCCCTCCCGTGCGAAGCGCGGAAGCTTTTACGTTTAATTTAATCATTAGAGAAGAAGACGATTCATTGTACCGTTCTCGAAAATAATCCTCATCGGGATTTAGTTCCCCCTCCATCCCGCGCAAAGCGCATAAGCTTTTACGTTTCATCAAATAATTAACGATTCGTATTACCGTTCTCGCCTCTGAATCCTCGTCTCAATTCAGTCCCCCCCCCCTCCTCCCCTCCTGCGTGAGGCTTTGACGTTTTATTATTAAAGAAAGAAAATCGATGCGTTGTACCGTTCTCTATATCTTTAATCCTTGTCTGAATTTCAAAGAGGTGGGGTCGAGGCGGCGGAGCCGGCCCCGGAAGCTCAGGGGTTTTAGGCGTTTAATTAAGGTCAGATGAGCATATTTTTGTGTATACCTTATTATTTTGTGACACTGGCAAGTCACTATTTGGCGTGGGGTTCAGGGGGCGGAGCCCCAAAAAATCAGGGGTTTTAGGCATTTAATCACGGTCAGATGAGCATATTTTGATGCCTCGAGGCTCTCGATCCCCGCCGTACGCCCTGACATGTAGGAATCTCAAGAATCATATTTTTTGCCTGGTTGTAAATTTAGGAATTTTTTTATTTTCCAACAAACACATACAAACGTATAATTTACTAAAAAGTGAGGAAAAATTTCGGAAATTATGTCATTTCAGCATTATTTGTAATACACCGTTGTGGAATCAGAAATAAACCACGTTTGAATTTGATTTCCCCCAAGCCCCCCCCCCCCCTCTATCAGTACGCCAGTATCTCCTCTTTTCCTTTTTTTTCTTTCCCTTTCCTTCCTTCTCTCTTATTTTTTTTTGATGGGGGGGGGGGGGGGGGTTAACAGCCTGGGAGGCAAGGCCCTTTCGGCCCCCCCCCCCCCGATCTCCATCTTCCCCCTTTACTTTTCTTCTTCCTCTTCTTTCTTTCCCTTTTTCTCCTTTTTCCCTTTCTCCCTTCTTTTCCTTCTTCTCTCTTTTTTTTTTTTTTTTTTTTTTTTTGCGGGGGGGGGGGGGGGGGGGCCAAGGCCCGCTCGGCCCCCCCCCCCCCTGGATCCGCGCCTGTCAATACCTACGATTCCATATATTCAACATTGTCTTAATTTCCTCAAATTTTGATTTAAAATTAAGATCATGAAAACTCAAATTACCATTCAAAGGAATTTTGATACCTAAGTATGTAAAATGATCTGAAGGCCAAATAAAAGGAATGTCCTGACACATAGGCATAGTTACTTTACAATTTCCCAGTCTAATCATATTACATTTTTCAAAATTAATTTTGAAGACTTTAACGCATCTACGAATATTCGATTCATCAGGTTCAAGAAAAATAACCGTGTCATCTGCATATTGACTAATCTTTACCTCCTCATTTAATAATTTTAACCCACGAAAATCTTTATTTTGTCTCACGAAAAAGCCAAGTATTATGAAAACCGTTTGGCAAACACAAAATTCGATTTCGATTTTCAATCATAAATATCTTGATAATCAGACAGGCGATCGGCTTGTAAAAGTCATGGGGTTCCTGACTGACCTAAAGGTTTATAATTGTCATTGCAGCATGAGCTTAATCAAGGATCTAAGACAAACTTACGGGATCCCTTTAGGGAAAGAGGGTATAAGAGAGAGTTATAGGAAGACAAGAGGGAGGGAGAAGAGGGGCGGAATCCCAGCAAACAGTAGAAAATGAAACTATGAGAAATGCATATTCAAAAAATCATTATAATCGTTTCAATTTAAAGTTGAAATAAAAGTGGTTTGATGCCTTTTATCACATTTGAGCTACACAATAGATGTTTATAACATCACTTTTGATTTTTTGCTGTTTGATTTCTCATTGCAAATACACATCGTATACTTAGGTCAGTATAATAGAGAATGACTGCTATGAGGGGAATAGTTGTTTTATGGGCTCAAGGGGATGTTGCATCCTGACATCGCCCAAAGGCGTGCCGAGGGGTGATATCAGGATGCAACATCCCCGAGAGACTATAAAACAACTATTCCCCGAATATTAAAGCAGTCATTATCTCTTTTATATACCGAAAAAAGGATCATAGAATATGCAATCATGATAATCTAGTTTTTTTACGCTATATCGAGGTCTGTGTTGATAACCTGCAGGTCTCTACATAGGCGCATGTTGTGGGCTAAAATCCTTCCCATTGAGATTGCACGCATATATCCTTACGCAGCCTACGTGCATTACGCGATCATGCAAAATTGGTTTAAAAACATAATATTTACAAATGGAGATTCCAACCTTTAGTGCCTGTGATCCTGAAGGTGATTACTCAAAAATGAGGTGTCATATGAAAGAGCAGATTTATCTCCATATTTCCAAAGGGGCGTCATCTCGTTATTACATGACATTTATACTGTGTTAGAAAGATCCCACTTGCTTCATCGAACACAGACAAACACGTAACCCTTACAACAGTCTTAATAGCATCACTATAATATTACTTTTATTGCTACAGATGCGACGGACAAATCATATTCCATCAAAATCAACGAGTTTGATTTGATTCCATGATGTTCTTCGTTTCGAGCGCCCTCTTTTTAGCGCCAAAAAGAGTTTATTTTTGAATTTCGAATCAAAAGACTCGAGATAGGTTGTAGTTCTTATGTATGCCTTCAGGTCAGGGTCGAGAGAGTCTTGGCTGATATGCCCAAGAGTGATGATGAGCAACGTGTTACAACGATCATGCAACGCTCGAAGGCGAGCCATACGGAACTCGTACATGCACCAGTCACTCTGCAGAAAGTTGTCCGACAAGACGAGAATGACACGACGGATATGCGCCACGGCGCTCACGATGGTATCGCCTGGGATAAAATGACGATGATGGAGACAGATGGAGTAAGAAGGCACATCCTCGGTTTCCAAAAGTGGCACCAAGTAACGGAGCACGAACTCGTCGTCAAGTTGGCAATACGAGATAAAGACATCGAAGGGTTTGTTCGCGTCATCTTCAGACGGGTCTTGAGGAAATTAGTGCAGTAACATGAGCGTTTGTTCTTTTTGTATAGAAAAACGCAAATGAGCACAACCACGAGAACACCAGTGATGGCACCAAGCGATGCAAGTGATGTGATTATTGGACTTGTCCCATGTTTCCTGCAGTAAGAGGATTCGAGGTTAGCTAATGATACGGTGGTGCTGTCCCTCTGCCGACATATAACGTTACCCTTAACCTCTAATGTGTACCTGACCAACCCCTGTAATGAGATCAAGTTACAGCTACAAGTTAGTGGGTTTTCTTGAAGGCTCACTATTTCGAGACTTTGAGGGAAGTGCTGGATAGCAGGGAGGACGGTGAGAAAGTTTCCGTGTAGATAGAGAAAGGTTAAACTTGGGGTGTCCAGAAAGACCCCATCAGCAATAGTTCTGATGGAACTGTGGTTTAAATACAGCGTGTTAAGTCGAGTCAATCCCTGGAACGTTCCTTTTGTTATATTGCGAAAATTATTTCCGTCGAGTTTCAATTGCAGGACTGAGTTTAAGAGTCTAAACGCTCCGCTTTCTTTCCTCACAATACTACACCTAATAAGCGTCAAGTCGCTTAATAATGGCATTCGAGTATCAAGCATACTTTTTCTAAGATTTTTCCAGGTATTCCCGGTTAGGTCCAACGATGAAGTATTGCTTGGTATGCCTCGCGGAATACGTGTTAGATTTTCATATTCACATTCAACATTGATCACACGGCGAGCTGTTTGAAGCCCCAGATCCTTCATAATCTCCTAGTATTGACAATGTTCCGGGCACAGAGAATCGGACAACGGGGCACTCAAAATGCTCAGGGCTTATTGAGAATAATGGTATTCCGTTCAGGTTGGGTGGTGAAAAGCATTCGATGTCATCGCGATCACTTATCAAAACAGCCTGCCCGTCATAAAGACGAAACCAAGTAAGACGGCAGTCGCAAGTGAACGGGTTACCGCCTAGCCTAACCACCAACTGATTTCCAGCTAGTCTCTGTTCCCCGAGAGGGTTCGACTGGATATCGAAGAGTCCATCGTGGAGAGTCTCTAAAGAGTTATAACTAAAGTCGATGAATGTGAGCCTTCTTGCCCATCGTAAGACATTCGTTGGCAACGATTCGAGACGGTTATTACGGAGATCGACGTACGAAAGCGAAGACGAGTACTCATCCGTTTGAAAAACCCTTTCGGTAATGGACGATATTAAGTTATGCGACAAATCTAACGAGGTTGTATATCCCCGGACTCCTGGCACAGTGTCCTCTGTGAATGAAGTCAATGAATTGTAGGAGAGTAAAAGCTTCTCAGTACCTAAAAAACTCAGACTGAACTTCTTATCAAGGTTATTTCGTGACAAATACACTTCTTCGAGGGACCTCATCGAACGGAACGCATCAGCATGTATGGATGAAATGTAATTGTCATCTAGGTATAATGTGTTCAAGAATTCGAGAGGTTTCAATAGGTCACGGGAGATGTGCGTAATGCTATTGCTACTGAGGGACAGTACCTGCAAGTCTTGAAGATCATTGAAGATGCCATCGGGGAGTTCTCGAATGTCATTATCCCACAAACTTAGTTCCCGAAGGTGGGTCAAACCTCTGAAAACCTCCGGATGCAGAGACTTTAAATCAAGTTTAACCAGTGCCAGTACCTCAAGGTTTTTGAGGGGAGAAAAGGCATTGGGTTTGATGGAAACATCATCCTCTAATGCGAGGTAGAATTTCTGCAGACCAGGTAGACCGATATACGAATCGGCGGTGATGTTAAAGGGTGTAAAGCATTTGTCATTGCCAATGGAAACAACTTCCTCGGCGAATTCGCCACATTCTTTTACCGCGCTCTTCAAAAAGTCGGAATAACTGAGAGAATTGTTCCATGAGCAATTAATATAAACTTTCCTGGATCGCGGGAAATAAAATGGATCTGGGTTAGTATCACTGATCGAATAAGGATTCAATTGGCAGGAGACATACTGAAATGCAGCAAGGGAGTCGGCATCCGTGACTGTGATGTTTGGAGGGCTACATTGGCAAGGGCTATTACCTGTCGGTAGCGGTACAACTGGACACTCGATAACGTATGGAGTGAAAAATGTTGAGTTCACCCGTTCTTCACAGACGCATATTGATATCAAATTGCACAGGATTGTCAATAAGAACTGTCCTTTAATGAAGATTCCCATTGTGGCAAGTTTCGTTGAAATATTCAATAAGACAAGTGTTAATCAAATCTCATTCAATCAAATCAAATCTAATCCAATGCTAATCCAATCTATAATGTCTTTCGTAGTGCAACTTTTCCTTGTAGATGAATAGGGCTGCACAAATTGCTCAAGCTGTTTGGGTCATGTAATCAATAATATATCTCTTAGCAATCACCAGTTGTGCCAATCCAATTCATGTTATCTGACAAACGAGACGTCAGAAGTTTACTGAACTGGTCCACAAGTCTAACCTTCTTTGCGATGACTGGTACTTCACTGACCTGTCCTCACCTCTTCCTTCCTCCCGCTGATGCACTATACACGATACCTTTCTCATCCGTTCAAATATTTGTATAACCTGGATAATAGTATTTGTTGAAAGAGAATGAGAACGTGACGTCCTATCGTCGTCATCACGGTTATGCAAAATAAACATCCGCGATATTGGTGCGGAAGAATCACAAAGTGCTTTCACCTTTATCAGTAGATTATTGTACGATCACACGTTCTTTGTAACTCACTTTTATCGTTCACGTTTACGTGCGTAAATGCCTGTACATATTTATCATGTTTGTATTTACGAAATTACCACGATAATTGAGAAAGATTCAAGCGGATAGGATGGCAGAACATTGAGATTTCGGTGATTCTCCATCCTTTGAATACTGATTCATTTATGTTGTGTTGAGTGTATAGGGGATCCAAACCTGCCGGAATCTATTCAAACAATTCCTTATATGGTTGTTTTGTCGGGAGGAAGATTTTTAGACATTCGGCAGGAAACTATTATAGTCTGTGTCCCTAAAGATAGTACACACACTTTTACTAAAAGGAAATTGTGTAATATCTGATTTATTCTCCTGTTCGCGTGTAATATCTATCAGTGGTTTTTGTCTTTCCTTGGTTATGTTATGTCAGAGTAGATCCTGTACGCTAACCTCGAATTCGCTCTAAGTTCGTGTGAGAGATCACACTGACTGAATTTCAATAGGAATTCACTGTTATTTTGCTCTGGTTCTCAACATTAGGAACCAGAGCAAAGCGACAGTGATTTCCTATTGAAATCTACTCATTCGGATGGTCATATCTCAGCCATTATACTTAACATATTCAATTTTTTTAAAAACATTTTGACATTATTGTTAATGCTCTTTCGGAAAACGAAGTTCAAATTGAGAAATTCTAAAAATATCATGTCACAATTTCTTTACTATATTGTGTCCCGAGCGAGCCTTGCCCCCCCCCCCCCTGACTCCCAGAAAAAAGAATCGTGTCCAGAATTTTTTATTTTTTTTGCTCAAGAGGGGGGGGGGGGGGGGGGGGGGGGGGGGGAGGGGGGGGGGGGGCGTTGTTAATCCAAATATCGGCCGGCGCGATTTCCGGGGGCAAAAAAGAAAAATTTAAATTAATGCTCACTACCCCCCCCCCCCCCCCCCCCCCCCCACTGAGCGGAATATCGGTCGGCTCGATTTTCAAATTTCAGCGCACTCAATTGCAAGATTCAAATTTGGCCCCCCCCCCCAAGAAATCCTGGATCCGCGCCTGCAAGCACTGTATACAGAAAGACTACACGAACATGTGACATAAAAATCCGTCTCGATTTTGATGATGTTACATGCCACATGAAAAAATATATTAAAATATTGGTTATATATAGGCCATCGAGCTCAAGTGTAGTTGACTTTAATACCTATTTTGATGATATTTTACAATGTTTAACTAAAGAGAATAAGCATGTATATAATGGGTGACTTCAATTTAGACCTCGTGAAGTCCTCTAGTGATACAAGGATTAATACTTTTTTTTGAACAACGTATATGCTAATGGTTTAACACCTATGATCAACAAACCAACCAGACTTACAAAAACTTTTGCATCACTTATAGACAATATTAGGAGTATTAAGACAAATAAAAACAAAAAGTTATGGGTATCATTAAACTTGTTGACAAAAATAAGATTGAAGAACGAAGTTTATAAAAGGTTTTGTTGTAATCCTAAATATGAAAATGAAGACAAATATAAGAAGATTAGGAACAAAGTATCATCTAAATTGAGAAAGGCGAAAAAATGTATTTTTATCAAAGGTTAAATGATTGTAGAACTGACCTCAAGAAAACATGGCGATTGATTAATAATATATTTAAAAAACGAAAACCCATCTTACCACAACACTTTATACACGGAGGAAGAACACTGAATGATCCGCAATTGATATCCAGTGTTTTTAACGATTATTTTAACAATATTGGACCAAAAACCGGCGACCCACGGAAAAGCGACAGGGCGTCGCGCATGCATCGCTCGGGCTCTACAGCCTGCTCGACTTCTCCAAAAATCTTTGGGCGATGCCTAAACTCCAGCAGCAACCGAGCAGGCTACAAATCGGTCGTTCGCCGCTCTGAGTAGCCTTTAAACAAGGCCACATGCCTGATAGACGCCGAGCGACTAAAAAGAGACTAATCGCGAAAACCTGAATGAACGCCAGTGCGAATTGTCCAGACCTGTGACATTCGTCATTCGGTCGCGCGTTCACTCCGGGTATCTAGACTCATCTCAGCCGCTTCGCCAGAGTCAACGAGGCCTTGTCAAAAGGCTACGCTCTGAGTTGTGACCATAGCTTAAGTAACATAAAATATTAATTTAAAGTAGATATTCATTGATTAAAAAAACAAAAAACTTTATTTTCATTATTGCAAAGTTGAAACTTTGATTCGACAAGGTTATCAAATTTCAATGCTTGGAAACATGCGAAGTAATAATTATTATAAATTACAAAACGCTTAAATACAGCCCCGACATAGCACCTGAAGAGCTCTCCGAACGCTGCTGAGATGTGTGACAATGGACATGATTTTCACAAGCAGACGATGTCCCATGACAACTTACACATTTTCAGTGCCTGTTTTTTTCCGATCATCTTCTCTTGAGTTTTTTCTCTTATAATTATGCTCGAAACCGTAGTACTAATATTTCTCATTGGACAGAGGTAAAACATAATTATGCTTGTACAGCCATTTGGTGATAAATAAAGGAATGCATATGGACACAGAATGTGGGTCAAATCTAAAAATGGTGATACAAACGGTGTGATGCTTACGAAAACAATCAGACAATTGGGACGCAGGGGCTTGCTTTCATTTGTGTAAAATTAGGTCTTGACCTTTGGTAATGTGTGGGCGATCTAAGAGGATGTAAATGTGTGAGGGTGTGTGTGTGGAGGTTTCGGATGTGATGTGTTTTCATTGATTGCAGGCTATTATGTTATTATGGTACTCATAATTCCTGTCAGGTCTTATCAAGAGCTTTTCCAATAACCGACCAAAGCACTCACAGTATTACCCTGTCACTGGAGTCAATTACTATTCCGCACATTACAGTGTACATGCTCCTCTCCCTAGGGAACATTCCAGCTAGGCGCCATTTGACGGGCGTGCAGATGATAATCCAACCACTATGATATTCGTATCCTACCGATAGCCCATTGAGCACATACAGTGCATGTGTGGAAAGTGGATAAAAGGCCTAGTTGCTCAAGGGGGTGTTTAACAAAGACTAAGATCGACTTTAAAGACCGTCAACACTACTAGGCCAGAATGGATTAGACCACACAGCGAGGTCACTGACAGGTGGCTATCTCATTAACTCAGCTCTCAACTTAAAGAAAAAGAGGATCATGGGGGACCAACGGGCACCGATTTGGGAAGTGTTATATGCAGGGAGCAAGTAGCTACAAGTAGGACAGTGGGGCTTTAAGTTGGACTTAACTACGGCAGGCCATTTATACCACTGTTTGCTCTTACCATTGGTCTTTCAATAATGAACTATAAAAACAGGTAAATTCTGTAGATTTGCGACCATAATTTGTGCGTCCCTTGAAAAAACCAATGCCAGGAATGGTTAGAGGAACTAGTGGCATGAACGGCATGGCATAGTTAAGTCCAACTTGAAGTCGATCTTAGTCTTTGTGAAACACTCCCAAGGACACATAGGTGCCGTGCCGGGATCTCGAACTAAGACCTTTAATTGCATTTCCATTCCAGTGATCAAACCAACTGACTACGACACATGTACGATAAAAGGAAAATATGTAAGAAGGAATTCTGCCATTTCATCCCGCACTTCCCACATTCGCTGACATTTTTTTGTACTGTGGGCATGACCTTAGGCCTAACAAAAAAATATGTTGGTTGTCCTCGATTGCTGTTCTGGAGTAGGGGCGGGCAGGCGTTTTTTTTTTGTTTTTGTTTTTTTTATTTAAAAAAAAAAAAAAAAAAATCCCCATTTTTTAAAATTTTAAATAATTTGTTTTCCATGGAAAAAGAAATCGTTGGGATGTCAAGCATTTAAACAAACAAAGTCTATAAAACACTTTAATATGGTAAAAGACTAGTTTAATGTACAATGAATATCAAGAAAGCACAGAAAGTATTTTTGGCTTTGACATACAGCACCTTTTAAATCTCCATTGTACTACTAATAGCTACTTGCGCCCTCTAATCGGTGACCATTGCTCCCCCATGATCCTCTTTATCTTATGTTAACTGAGAGCTGATTTTATGAGATAACCACCTGTCCAGTGACCTTGCAGGGTAGTCTAATCCCTGTAAACTAGTACAGATGGGCTTTAAAATGAGTTTACGAATGCTCAGAACCTGATTTGAATGGACGGCATTTTGACATAGAAAAATAAAAATGGCAAGTTTAATAAATACAGAATTGCGTACAGAAAAGACCAAACTGGCAACGGGACGCATTTTGATCCTTGCAAATGCATAAAATGGTATGTTTGGCATTTAAGATTGCTCCCCCCCGAAAAAAATTAGATTAAAAAAAAAAAAAAAATTGAATTAAAAAATATTGAATTAAAAAAATATATATTTAAAAAAATATATAAAAAATAGGAGCGGCCCGAAAATGACAAGCGGGAGGTCGTGGACAACCAAATGATTTTTTTTTTGGCCTTAGTGTAAGCAGAAGTTTACCTCTATTGTAAGAAAATACACTTAAAGAGACAGTTGAGTTCTGTCGCCACACAAAATAATTTTTTTTTGGGTGAGATAGTGAAAAACTGAGAGTCAAATTTGCATTTTAAATGACAAAATCTTCTTTTTTTGATCAAAATCGGTTCAGAAACGGCTGAAATATCCATAAATATAACGAGTTCTAATATTTGTGTACCACCACAAATATTCGATAATTTGAAAAAGCCGTTGAAAAAACGAGCGCCTTTTACGTTGTGTTAAAGCCAATGCCGATGTTAGTTTTTTGT